GAAAGCCTTTCTGAGAACGCTTCCGGAAAAGGGCGGTTTCAGAAGCGCCCCTTCTGAATCCTTACTGCTGGATGGGGCATGCCACCGAAACCAGCGTAAGTCATTGTGGGCGCCGGGCGGGGCAAGCCACCGAACCCGCAAGCGCACACCGCAACAAGCATATCTGCTCTGCAAAAACACATCTATCCGCTTGAAAAATATGATCCGCAAGAAACATACGACTTGGGCGGCTCTTGCGTCGCATCACGCATGTCCGTTCGTCAGCTCACAGCTTTCCTGTGAGACTCTTTTGCCCTGAGACGCCTTCCCTCTTGCTTGCAGAAGGCGTAGGGGCCGGGCGGGGCAAGCCACCGAACCCGCAAGCACAAGCACATGCAACAACTTCAGTCGTTGGCGGGCTTAACTTTGGAGGAAGGGGGAGCTGGGCACCCTATTGCTGGATGGGGCATGCCGCCAAAACCAGCGAAAGGATTTGTTTAAGGGGGCCGGGCGGGGCAAGCCACCGAACCCGCGCAAGCAAACGCAACAACGTCAATCATTGATGGGCTTGGGAGGAGGGGGGGTGGGGCGGGGCAAGCCACCGAGCCCTCAAACAACAAACGAGATGAAAAAAGACAATTCCGTTCCGACTCTCCGAAGGCGAGCAGCCAGCGAAAAACGATGCTGCAGGAATCAAGCCTTTCGCAACAATGGGCACACAGGCGCATTATTATTGTCCCGTCCTGCCCCCCCCCCTTCCCACCGAAAAACAACTTGAAACCCAAACAATTAACTTCTCTAAAGTCAACCTCAGCGACATAAATCGAGCAACAAATGCCCGCGAAAAACTGGAAAAATGCAAAATGCAAAAAAAACTTTAAAAACATGAACAATTGCCAGTTCAGAATGGCAGGGTGGCTGTCGCTCGGGTAAAACGATAAAGCCACTCAGTGGCAGCTACCTGGGCAAAGGGCCGGGAGGACGGTCGCATACGACCCTACCCGCCGGTCACATTTGACCCTACCCTACTTTGGCTTCAAAAACCATGCCAAAATGGCAGCGTAAAGCTCCAATTCCACGACATGGCCACGCGAAACGCGCCGGTCACATTTGACCCTACCCTACTTTGGGCTCAAAAATCAGTGCCAAGTGGCAATACTATGTTCCACGGCAGGGCCACGCGAAACGCACCGGCCACAAGCGACCCTACCCTACTTTGCGTTCAAGCAACATTGCCAGCTGGCAACGAGATGGCAGCATCAAGCTCCAATTCCACGGCAGGGCCACGCGAAACGCACCGGTCGCATTTGACCGTACCCTACCTGACGGTTTCTTGCCAAATGCGTCACTTTAGGTCTTGAGGCTTTTACATCGCTTTCAGGTATAGTCATCACATCACTTTAGGGCTTTCTGGTTCGCTGTCACTTCTTTAGTTAGTCACCACATCACTTTAGGGCTTTCTGGCTTGCTGTCACTTCTTGAGGTAGTCACCACATCACTTCGGGTTTCTGGTGCGCTGTCACTCCTTTAGGCAGTTACCACATCACTTTAGGGTTTCTGCTGCGCTGTCGCTTCTTCAGGTAGTTACCACATCACTGTTAGGGTTTCTGCTGCGCTGTCACTTCAGGTATAGTCACCACATCACTCAAGGGTTAGGGTTTAGCTGTCACTTCTTCAGGTAGTTACCACATCACTTTTAGGGTTTCTGCTGTGCTGTCACTTCAGGTATAGTCACCACATCACTCTAGGGTTTAGGGTTTAGCTGTCACTTCTTCACGTAGTTACCACATCACTTTTAGGGTTTCTGCTGCGTTGTCACTTCAGTTATAGTCACCACATCACTTTAGGGTTTTCTGGTTTGCTGTCACTTCTTTAGGTAGTCACCACATCACTTTAGGGTTGCTGCTGCGCTGTCACTTCTTGAAGTAGTCGCCACATCACTTTAGGGTTTCTGGTGCGCTGCCACTCCTTTAGGCAGTTACCACATCACTTTAGGGTTTCTGCTGCGCTGTCGCTTCTTCAGGTAGTTACCACATCACTTTTAGGGTTTCTGCTGCGCTGTCACTTCAGGTATAGTCACCACATCACTCTAGGGTTTAGGGTTTAGCTGTCACTTCTTCAGGTAGTTACCACATCACTTTTAGGGTTTCTGCTGCGTTGTCACTTCAGTTATAGTCACCACATCACTTTAGGGTTTTCTGGTTTGCTGTCACTTCTTTAGGTAGTCACCACATCACTTTAGGGTTGCTGCTGCGCTGTCACTTCTTGAAGTAGTCACCACATCACAGGTTTCTGCGCTGTCACTCCTTTAGGCAGTTACCACATCACTTTAGGGTTTCTGCTGCGCTGTCGCTTCTTCAGGTAGTTACCACATCACTTTTAGGGTTTCTGCTGCGCTGTCACTTCAGGTATAGTCACCACATCACTCTAGGGTTTAGGGTTTAGCTGTCACTTCTTCAGGTAGTTACCACATCACTTTTAGGGTTTCTGCTGTGCTGTCACTTCAGGTATAGTCACCACATCACTCTAGGGTTTAGGGTTTAGCTGTCACTTCTTCAGGTAGTTACCACATCACTTTTAGGGTTTCTGCTGCGTTGTCACTTCAGTTATAGTCACCACATCACTTTAGGGTTTTCTGGTTTGCTGTCACTTCTTTAGGTAGTCACCACATCACTTTAGGGTTGCTGCTGCGCTGTCACTTCTTGAAGTAGTCACCACATCACTTTAGGGTTTCTGGTGCGCTGCCACTCCTTTAGGCAGTTACCACATCACTTTAGGGTTTCTGCTGCGCTGTCGCTTCTTCAGGTAGTTACCACATCACTTTTAGGGTTTCTGCTGCGCTGTCACTTCAGGTATAGTCACCACATCACTCTAGGGTTTAGGGTTTAGCTGTCACTTCTTCAGGTAGTTACCACATCACTTTTAGGGTTTCTGCTGCGTTGTCACTTCAGTTATAGTCACCACATCACTTTAGGGTTTTCTGGTTTGCTGTCACTTCTTTAGGTAGTCACCACATCACTTTAGGGCTTTCTGGCTTGCTGTCACTTCTTGAAGTAGTCACCACATCACTTTTGGTGCGCTGTCACTCCTTTAGGCAGTTACCACATCACTTTAGGGTTTCTGCTGCGCTGTCGCTTCTTCAGGTAGTTACCACATCACTTTTAGGGTCTCTGCTGCGCTGTCACTTCAGGTATAGTCACCACATCACTCTAGGGTTTAGGGTTTAGCTGTCACTTCTTCAGGTAGTTACCACATCACTTTTAGGGTTTCTGCTGTGCTGTCACTTCAGGTATAGTCACCACATCACTCTAGGGTTTAGGGTTTAGCTGTCACTTCTTCAGGCAGTTACCACATCACTTTTAGGGTTTCTGCTGCGTTGTCTCTTCAGTTATAGTCACCACATCACTTTAGGGTTTTCTGGCACTTCTTTAGGGTTTTCTGCGTTCTCAAACTCCACGGCTCCAGCTCCTTCTTCTCCTCCTTGGTGAGGCTGCGCTTCTTGTAGTTGTGCATAAAGTGGCTCAGAGCTGTTTCCGCTGGCAACTCTGCGTCCTTGTCTGCCAGCTCATGCAAAGCCTTCTGAACCGAAACCGGGCCACCTCGACGCAACATGGACGCTACCACGTGTTTCTGGCTTGGCAGCAACGCGTGCTCTGACAGGTTCTGCCTCCTGTCAAAGCTGCCGTGCTTCTCCACGGGCAGCCCCCGTATCTGCAGTTGCTGTTCAGTCGTATCGTATGTGGCACGGCCACGCCAGCCCTTCTGGCTGGCACATAGCGTACAACTTCTACAATAGAAGCGGTACTTGAAAACCGTAGAGCATGTCTTCTCCTTGCGGCATGAGTAGCCTATCTGCACATATTGGCCAGGGACTGTGCCGGCGACAGCTTCTTTCAGTCGTGCAAGGAATTGCTCTCGGTTGAGCAGGGAGGGCGTCCTCTCTTCCAAAAAGTTCACAAACTCAGGGTTTTGGAAACCTCCCTTGGCTGTTGTCTGCGCTGCTGGCCGCTTCATGTCCGCGGCCGCGGGTCTCTTCATTGCAGCAGGGCGCTTCATTCTGGACACCAAGCAAGGATGTGCTGACGTGTTACTGGCTGACGTATTGCTTGTTGACGTGTCGCTTGCTGCTGCATGGCTGCTGACACGCTACCAATGGCATGCTTGCTAAGACAACAAAAACAGCGAGTGGCGCAGGGAAAACATCTTGAGCTTGCAAGAACATGTCTCCAGGTGCTCAGAAAGAACAAGACAACAACCCAGAATGCCCACGGGCCACAACATAACAAGACAACAACCAAGAATGCCCATGCACATTGCCTCCAACAACAGAACTAACATACGCGATCATCCTTCCAGAGCAAAACAAAAGGCTCCGGTCACATTGACCCAACCTCACTCTCAAAAGGGGGCCCTTGAGTTGCTCGTTTTTTACAACGGAACAGGGGCCCCAGTCACATACGACCCTACCTCCGGTCACCTTTGTCCCTACTGGATCGTTAGATACATCGAATGCCGCGTTCCAATTCCACGGCAGGGCCACGCGAAACGCACCGGTCACATTTGACCCTACCTCACTGTCAAAAAGGGGCTCTTCAGTTGCATGGTTGTTACAACGGAACAGGGGTCCCGGTCACATACGACCCTACCTCCAGTCACATTTGACCCTACCTCATCGTGAGGTAGGGTCAAATGCGACCACGTTGAGGTAGGGTCAAATGCGACCGTCCTGCCCAAAGGGCCGGGCCCTTTTCTGGGTTGCAAGCCATTGATCAGATTTCCACCGACAACAATCAACCATCCTGAACCACATGCTCCTCCAAACGGAGCGGCACCAAGTAAGCCTCTGCATTCCTCCGGCACATGAGTAACCGACTATAGACTACAATACCACTCGAAACCGACACAACCCAAAAAATAATACAACTTCGAAACGAAACCGACAGGGACCCAAAATTCCGATCCCTCTGCAAGATGGTCTGTTGCTCACCCCCCAGCAGAAAAACAGCAAGACTCTGGCGCGCCTGGGTGGAGATGTGAATGCAGGTCTTGGAGTCCGGCTTCAACTCTGTGCTACCCTCCAGCCTCGAAGTTCCGATTTCGGTGCAGATCAGCAAGCAATATTCCAGCTGCAAAGTAACGAACCCCAAACATTCCCCATGGTCCTTCCAGGAGACTCCTCTGAATATGAAGGTTTGGGAGGTGAATCCAGGATGAGCATAGGGAACCACAGGTTTCGGTCTTACTCGTAGTTTTGGGGTCAGCTTTTGAGCGGTCAGGGAACTCGGGGACCCATTGCCTGGAACAAATTTGGAGATTTGGTTCCTCAGGCAGTCGCAAAGACAATTTGTCATGACATGGTTCTTTCGATCAAACACCTCCTTTAAGAGAAGGGCCAAAATGGCCCCTTCCATCCGCCAGCTCGATGTCCGCTCCATGGGACTCTGGACAACGCAGCCTATGCTTTGTTTTTTGCGTGTGCGAACACCCAAGGTCAACCCCCGCAACAGGGATCCTTGCATTATACACCTGAACATTGCCTGAAAAAATGGTGGTGTCCCTTTATTTTGGTGTTGAAAAAGCCGCATGTTCCAAATGGTTGCCAGCAAGCTGAATTTCTTTTCAGGAGCCCTGCGCAAATCGAATCGGCTCTTCAGCGGCTCGGATCCGATCCGAGGCGCAGGGTCTTTCCCTTGGAGTCCTTGACGCTGAACTGGCGCTTCACCTCGGCCACCATCTCTCCGGCCGCCTGGCCCACCGACTTCATGGTCCTCGGCGATCAAAACACTTTTTCCCTCGCTGCCCAAGTGGACTGGCCACTTGAAAATTAGTTGAAGCCTTATTGTTCACATACAAAATTTGGTCTTCCCACACTATTGAAACAAGTCGAGCCTCTTTGCTTCTCCCCAGTACCCACAGCGGGGGGTTCCAGTCTGGCGGTACCTGACATTTTCCTCAATGGGAAGCCGCGAGAAACAACTCGGAAGGCACTACGGCGCAGGACAAACGAGACATGACATACACTTCATAGAATAGACGTGTCCCTCGCAAATACTTGTGTGCAGTCCAATGAATGAGTCAGTTTGGGAAAACCCTATGGACATGCTCCTTAAAGCTGGGATCCGGATCCCGCACTCAAAGTAACCACCCAAAGAACGCACGTGGTACCCACACGACTTCCCAATACAGCCAAGGAAAAACAAGTGCTACATGGGTGCACCAAAGGATAGCGGTAACAACGCAAACCCTACACACCAGATGGGGCCACATGTTTTATCCCGGCTTTAAGCTCCACCCCTGCCAGTGGCATTTGCTCCTACTCTCGTTGTGTATGTGTTTGCCTTGCTTCAAGGAACACTTGTTTTGTCCTGTGGCTCCCCAAGCATCTTGAGGGGCGAAATCAACACCCGTGGTGTTGATGAATATTGCGGGTCACGGGTGTCAGAAGACTGTCAGAAGGCGCTTCCAAGAGGCCGACGGGCCAAGTACCAAAATAGTGGAGGTCCAAGAACAATTGTGTAAAAACAAAACACACACACACACACGCACACACACACACACACAATTCCTGAAAAACGTAGGAAACCATAAACCAGCCAAAGCGAACTCAAGCTGCCCGGCATTTTACAGTAAAAGCAACAGGACATTTAGGAGGTTTCCGTCGCCTCAAACCAATCGAGTCGGACACCACGGAAAAAAATAAGAAGAAACAAATCGGTCCCAATCAAAAACCCGTAGGTCCCCAGCTTTCCGGGCTGTTTCTTGGTTGGAGGATCCCACATGCTCTTCCGGGGCCAGCTCTTTGCACAAAAAACCGTCGCTGTGCCGCCCGAGGCGCAGGGCCGCGAACCAGTACGGGATCATGCAGCCGATGATCAGGAAAGAGAAGGTCACAGGCTCCAGAATGTTGACCTCTCGTAAACTCCGCTCCTGTGTTGCCCCTGCGGGTGCCTAACGTCTCAACGTGAGAGCAAGATCTGCCCCATGGCCAGCCCGGTGTGGTTAGCTGACTTTTCAATGCGCCGGCCAAACTTTGCGGAAAGCTATCCCAAGTAGCTGAGCGTAATTTTTGGTTGGGCAGACAACAAAGACGCTCCCTTTGAAAGTCCTTTGAGCGTGACTTTGGCTTAGGCATCAAAGCAACGCTTGCCAAGCAAAAAGCGAGCCGTGATTGTAGTCAACGAAATCGTCACGCTTTACTGTTGGTCAACATTATCTCTCTTCCTGTGTCTTGCCGAGACACGCCCGTCTTCACCCGCAGGCGGATCACAAAGGCGCCATACAGAGCCAGCGACACCAGGGCCGCGGAGCCGATGGCAAAACCCTGGCAGTGGTTGGCGGCGCGTGAGCCGTCGGGAATGTTTGGCAGAGGCACTTCGCCCAAGTTGTAGAACCCGAACAAAATAGATGCAGAACCTTTAGTCCGACCATGTTCTTGAACTCCGGCATTGCTAATCCTAAGTCAGCGATGGCGTTCCTGTCAGCTTCTTGGTCGTTGCAGCAGGCGACAGGTGACCGGAGGTTGCTTCCAGGATATACTCATGACACTGTGGAAACTTTACTGCGCCCCCGGAATGGCTCTCTTCGCAAGTTCAATAGCCACATGAAGCCAGTAGAAAGAATCGGCTGTTTAATCAGCAAAGATGGTCTGTCAGGAAGGGCCAGGCGTGGGGACTCCCGGTGCAGTCAGATGGGTCTTGGATGGTCTTGGCAATCCAAAGAATTGCAACAGTGTGCACATCGCGTGTTTCTCATGGAGGCTTGGCTCCGAAGCAAAGAAGCCCTTTCCTGGCTGTATTCAAGCCTGATCACTGGTTGCCAACTATCCAAACACCGACACATCGACCTCAAGGCCACCAGTCGGGACCCTTTTCCTTCTCAAATGAGACGGAGGACATCTGCAAAATTGCGCGTACTGAAGCTTTCGGTTGGGACCTGGCTGGGGGACCAACAACTAAGCCATTGGGGCAAGAAATGGGCCGCAAAAGGACAACGCAATGGTTGCACCCGCATAAATGCAGCTCACTTTGCCACCAGAACGCCCAAAGAAAAAAAGGACCCAACCCCACCCGTGGCACTTGGGACAAGTGAGTCCTTGGACGTTTCCGGAAGCACCGACTTAGAATCTCAGGACCCCCACTATGGGTGGTTTCCTGGCGGACTCACGTTAAAAAACTCCGAATCGGTGCTCTCGAAAAAAAGAAAAGAAAAACAGACATACCTGGAGGCTCTATGGCAGCATTTTCTGCGCAGAACTCCGATTTTGGTCGCTCCTTACAAGTGTTGTTCCCATGTCACCAAGCACTCCCCGCCCCCCCCCCCTTGCCCGAAAAAACGGAGAGATGATGCCTCTGCTCTTCTACCCCTTGTACCCCAGGTGAATCATAGTGAAACCCGGCAGTAAAAAGGTCTACCCAGAAGAATGTAAGGAACTAAGAAGGCGGGCGCAGCTATTTATGCTAGGGATTGTCCCTTACCAACCTTCACTTACCCGGGTTTTGAGCACGTGTCAGGTGTTGTTCCCATCTAACCAAGCACACCCCCCCTTTGCCCGAAAAAAGGAAGAGAGATGATGCCTCTACTCTTCTACCCCAGGCGTAGTGGAGCTTCCCCTCCCCCGAGCCGCCCTCGACGCTCAAGGCTCGGCGCTCGAGGTCCGGCCTTGCCGATGGCTGCCGTGGTGTTGCCCGCGGCGTCCAGGGCGTCGGTGCGTCGCCGCACCTCCGGGTTGAAGAGGGCCATCTCCTCGTGCTGAACGGATTCTGGCCATACCCGGACAACTCTCTTAGCCTTTTTTTCAGTAGAGAGGTTAGAATAAGGGCACCCTTTTTTCTGTAGTCTATTTTAGTAGGGGAACCGTCCCCCCACAAAAGGGTAAAAGGGCACTACTGGGGGACCTAGGTTCTTACGGGGTTGAAGCAACCCTCACGAGTATGGAAAGCTGACGGGCTCGGAAGATTGCAGTGGTTAACTTGCTGGACCTTGGTAGGGGAGGAGCGCAGTTGGATTTGGAAGCTCCAACCACTAAACCTCAATAAGCAAAAATGAGAAACAAATGTTTCTAACAACAACCATGTTAAGGGTTTCAAGGCCTCTTTACAAGCATGGAAGCTGACAGGGTTCGGAGGATTACCGTCCTCTTGGAAACGCCTCTCCAGTCCCTTGCGTGAATGTCGGAAATAGAGAAGCACGCCAACACCACCCTCCAAGAAAAGAAGCAAACACCAATCAGCTCTCGCATGGAAGCACAAGGCCCCTCTTGGAAAACGACTGTCCACCGGAATGACGGGATGGCCCAGAAAACAAGAACCGGGGATGCAAGCCCTATAGAGCAGAAATACCTCAGTCCTTTCCGACATGGGTAGGAAAATTGGACTTGATTTGAGCTCGACAAGCTGCTAGAGTGACACTGCTAGAATCGTTTGAGACACATTTTGTGTATCATATTCTAGTATGCACAATCACGAATGCGCAATATGGACTGCACGCCCGTTGAACACAACAACAAGCACATCGCATGGCTGATGGTGCATTCTCATACATCCCCTAACCGCGTCAACCAACAAAATGCGAAGCGTCTAGCGCACTTTGGAAACCAAACACTGCCAGCATCATTTCACCAGCGCTCAGTTGGCAGGCGCCGGTTTCCGAGTCTGACTTGAATGTTTCACGGCCACGCAACTGAAAAGCCAGATGTCTGGCAAGAACCCTCGATGAACTCGAAATGCTGAGGACAATGCACAGGTTTGCCCAGGGCACCGCCCTCATGTGTGAAGCTGGGGCTTGGCAGCATGCAATATCATGCATGTGTGCTCAGACTACCGTTGAATCACCACCATGGTTGGGGTTCAAGCCCAATTCAACACAAAAACATGATTGGGGAGCAACATGCTCATAAGTCTTGGGCCGCTCAAATGAACCACTGGACGGCGTGACTTGTCGCGCGGAAAAAGACAAAATCCGGCCGGGCGGCCGCGATGCCGCCCGCGTTGTCGGAGATGGGGCCGAAGCCATCGATGGTGAGTCCGCAGCTCAGAGTGGCCAGCATGCCTCGCGTCCGACTTTGATTCGGTCGGCCAGGGATCCCTAGATTTCTGCCCAATTGGTTCAAAGCACCCCACCCATAGGAAACCAGGACACTCAGTTGGAAAACCTGCAGCAAGATGGGAAACCTGAGAAACTCAGAGGTATGAAATGAAGGAGATCAATGGAGGTGTTTCCTGCAAAACTGAAAGATCTGTCCTTTTAAAATGGGGGACCCCACTCATTCACCCGGGGCTTATTATTTGGGGTCGACAGTGGCCGATCGGCGGGGACGAGTCGTAATGCGAATTGTTCTACGCCTTGCTTGAGCCTCTCGGATGAAGTTTCAACACCATGAGGCCTTGCAACATTGGGAAACCTGGTGCATGGCTTGCAGGGATTCTGCCAGACAATAATCCAAACGCAAAAGACCATGTTTTTGATACCAGACTGCTGGAGGTTTGCTTCTGATTTTTTGATACGCAGCAACAATCCTGACCTTCAGGCATTGAGATGAACCTGGATCAATCCGATTTTGTTTCTGTGCTCGAGCTCGAGTGAAGGAATAGCAGGACATAGCATGACCAGCTAAGGACACGTTTGGGGATTTGCCTTGGGGGCTGATACCTGCAGCCGACCTCAATCATACAACCAACACCAATCGGGTAATCAACATCACTTCCCGAACACGACATTCACATCAGCAACATGCACCACGACACCAAGACCAGCACCGCTGCCGCCGCCACCACCGCCGCCGCAGCCACCAACAACAACATCAACAAAGCAGATCAAACAGATCAAACAAGTCAACAACTGCAAATCAACACCAACACCTGCACACACCCAACAAAAACGATATGTTTGTGGGTTGGCACCACAGAATCGCCCCTTTGGTTGGTCAGCTTCAAGATGCCCAGTGCCGCCAGGGCGATGCCGTAGAGGTCGCAGAGCTGGAAGGACACGAAGATGGCGGAGGACAAAACGAAGACGGGGATGATGCAGCTCTTGTAGCCCAGCGCCAGGCCTCAGCTGAAAAAAGATGCATGGGTGTGTCTGTTCTTTGCCTGGTGTGGGGGTGATTGAAATGGAACCGAAGTGAAACCACACCATTTTTGGGGGTGGCCCGGCCCTGCTTTGAGCTAAACCCATGTCCAAAGATACGACTTCGAGAAAGGTGGGCGAATTCTCCCCAAGCCAGCGACAAAGCCATGCAGGCGAAAATTGCAGAGATGGCGTCTCTCCTGTTCAGTTCTGTGTGTGTGTGTGTAGCATGCGAACAAAGTACAAACTGTCTAGCTTCTCTTTTGCATTGTATTCATTCCGGAGCAAGCACAGGACGTCTTGTTATATAACAACTCCACAAACATGCGATGGCAATTTTGAATGACACATTTTCCAAGAGTGAACAGACTAAACGTGGCTGGGCACTCACCGTTCAATAAACAGCGCCTTAGCAAATCACACACACACACACACAACCGACATGAGGTTGATGCATAGAATTTCTTTGACAGACTGCCATGGATGAAGATCCGGTTGACGTAGAACCTGTAGCAAGACCTACATCAACAGGGTTCAAATTGATTTGACTTTGGCAAATACCAGTTGGCCTACCAACCAAAGGGTTGAGTGCCATACAACTAGGTGGCATGCTTTTGACAGCGCGCGAGCGAAGCGGCCAGCACCGACGCCCAATAAGGAACAAAGGAGATTGCTGCGCCCAACCGCAATTCTTAGGCCATCCACCCAAGGTGGGTCAATCATGGAACTACTGCAAAAGACACACACACACACACTGCGGCAACCCCGTGTTGTGTCGAAGTCTCCAGTTCTTTCGAACATTTCCGATATCCCTGGAGCATGGGGGCTGCAATCCGGCTTGAGCAGGGATACGTACGCACAATTTGATCAGAATGGGAGCTCAATTCTGCAAGACCTGCGCACGTCAAAAGCATGACGCGAACTTCACGGATGCCAAAAATCCCCATGCCAAAGTAAGAAGTGCGAATTCACTCAACGGGAATGCAACGTGCAGCCCTTTGCTTCGAATCCCTAGGGCCCCTTTGCTTCGAAGCGGCCCTGGATGATGTTCACCGCCGTGCCGAACTTGCACGCGGCGGCCAGCTCGCGGGTGGGGATGTAGGAGTGGGAAGTGAAGTACTCTGTGACCAGACCGATAATCAGGCCACCCACGCATCCCATGGTCGCCTCAGAATAGCTTAGGAACCAAGGCTTAGAAAGGAAAGTTGTTGACAAATTGGCTCAACTGGGGATGTTAAATCGAGCAAGGCTTGCCTGAGCCACGGTTGTCAAATGTTACTCACCTGCAATGGACCCTTGAGAGACAGCGAGAGAGCTTGATGCTTCTGGGTGGATTTCATCCAAGATCTCAGAATGAGACATTTGCATCCCGCAGAAATCTGCATCCCGCAGAAATTGAAAAAGAACAGAACACGGTGCTCAAGTGGCACACTTCGCTAACCTCACCAAAACAAGCATCGCCAACGTCCCAAGCGCAGCCAACCAGCAGGAAACATCGCCTCCCAAAGGAGCCAAGTTCCCACATGCCGAAACATGGAACGCCAAACAGCCCCATCGCCACCAAACCCACCTGAAACCTTGGCAACGTCCGTCCAACCTCGAACCCGCGTCACACCTGCCAAAAAAAAACCGCGCCGGCGAGGCGCGCACACGAAGGCCTTGAAGGGGCTGCCATGGATCTTGGCCGGGACTCCCTTCTCCGTAAGGCGAACACCCTCCAGGCGGAAGTCTGCGGGCAGCAGGTGCACCGCCAGCAAATAGATCACCGGCCTCGGGCGGTGTCTTTCGAGACGTGGGGACCAGGGCTCCCTGCCCGGTTCCCCCCCGAGCCATGAGGGGTTCGAACAAAATTTAGGGCAGCGGTGACTTACACTGCCTTCATGCCACAGGCATGGCCCTTACAGCAAGTTCACGATCTCTTCAACGGCAGCTGAGGCCGGAGGTTTCCCTGGCAGCACGTGTTCCCGAAATCTTAGGTGACTTGTGTGGCGTCTGTCCCCAAACGTAGCGACACATGTGCTGGACATCTGGTCGGCATTGCGTCAACCTCACCCACCTTGACAAGTATTGAGGTTTACAAGGCGGCGGACACACGCAACAACGGGTGGGGTATGCTCTCAATATCAAACCCACGTCATGCAAACAACTCGGAAGGCAAGGGGCAGCATAATCAAGGCTGTCAGAACCATCTGCACCTTCAGCACCCACTCGATGTCGCCCTCCACCTTCACCTGGGTAAAGCGTCAAGCTGGTCAATAGCTTCCATGTACAGAAAGGATCAAGACAACAAGTATTCAAAAGGCTGCAATGTACGCAATGCTGTGGGGATATCCATTTAATACCTCCTCGCACCTTCGAAGTGAACATTCACGACAGCCTTACTCAAGCGTTCCAAAGCTTTCTGCTGCATCATCCAAACCGCGCACCGTTTCAATAGGGTACCAAACACACTAGCCTTGCCAAGCATCGAACGCACATGGCACCCTCCACGGTTTGGGATACTAAACCGACACACGTTTTGCATGGCGGGTGGACACGCATCACACGAAGTCGAGAAAACCCCTAGCAACATGCTGGGTGCTATGGGCCTTGCCATGGGTGCTCATTGGAAAACAGTGGCATAGGGGGCCATTGCATGACCGCCGCGCAAGTAAAACCCGAGCCAGGGCGCTGGGCGCACGTTGGTGGCCACAAAGCCGCAAAGGATGCAGATCACGATGCCGGCGGCCGAGATGGCCACGGGGAAAAGCATGGCATCCCAGCCGGCCACGGACAAGGTGTTGTCGGAGCCCTGAGGGCTTTCCCCTTTGAACATCCCACCAAGGGAACCTCACGTTAAATAGCCCCAAAAGGTGATGGGTTAAACCTGCCAAAGGGGAAATAGGGACGCGACTGTTTTTAACTCGGTTGTGCCGCCAACCAACATTGACGGGGGGTGCGGGGTTTGGTCATCACTGTGCTGCGTGTTGTTTCTGCGGGGATTTTGTCCTCGCTGTGTCATCGATCTGCAGGCTTGCTGCCCCAACAATCACGAAATGGGTGTTTGTTGAATTGCCCAAATCATGCATCACTTCTCCGAAGTCATGGGAACTCCGAATTGACAAACCGTTAGTTGACAAAAAACCAGGGGGGGTGTCGCATGTTCGACGGGTTCCTTCACTCTACTTGATCCAAGCCGTCAACTGAATCCAGGGTCATGGGCGTTGCCTCCACGGCTGCCGCTGCAATCACCAGGGCCGCGCAGGTGCTCTCGGCGAAGGAGCCGAAAAGGTCGGCGCCCATGCCCGCGATGTCCCCCACGTTGTCGCCCACCTCAACCGGCGAAAACACCTCCCTCCAGTCGAACGCGTGACGCCGAAATATGGGGGCATGCAACTGCCTTCCCAACCGTTCCTAAACAGGCCTAACCCCACCCTAAGCCCTAAGCTTTGTCCACAGTGTGACTTCGTTGCAGCGCGCGTCCGAGGCGCGTTGTCGGCGATGGTGGCGGGGTTGTTGGGATCATCCTCATCCAGGCCAGCAACAACCTGACAGGTCCATGTGGCAGCGGGCAGAGCCGGGTAACCTTGCACCATCATAAACTGTTGCACAAGGCAGGCAAGCAACCCTTGGAAAGCAGTTCTTGAAAGAGAAGAAAGCAGGGTCTTGCTCATGCATCCATCGCGCATGTTTAAGGAAGACAAATGGATGCCGTGTGTCCAGCCGCAAGTGCGAGAAGTCTCAACCCTATGACATGTTGAAAGAGGAAACACACCTGCAAGTCATACTCCTCGCATGGGTCATCTTGATTCGCCGAGAATGGTCGGTCACAATCACATTGAGAAAAGGGTTCCCAAGGCATCTTGCCTCATATTCTCAAACTTTCTGCCGCGTGTGAGGTCCAACGAACTGTTCCCTTCCAACTACATGGTTGGTTGAATGTGTTGGACATTCGAGGAAACGAGTCGGTTGCTGCTTGCTGTAAGGTGCTGGAAACAACAGGAGCTGGAGAGCTGTCACCTTTGAAACAATCCCATGGTGCCCCAATTTGACAAATTGCATTGAAGCGTGAAGAAGGCAGGTTGTGCGGATAGAGCAAATAGGCGCAACAACTTTGTGGCCCTTTGCGTCCACTGGAGAGACTCAAATCCAGCAACACGCCTCGGGGGAACCCTAACCTTTTCCCTGTCAAACCCAAAGGAAATGGATGTGCACTTGGTTCCGATCCCTGGCCGCAAGGCTGTTCCCTTCCAGGCCTTGCCCACCAGGTCAGCACCCACATCCGCCGCCTATAAAGAGCATTGCTTTGCATGCCACATGCAAAGTGCCAATGTGCATGCGCATCTTGTTACCACATGCTACCAAGAGTTGATGCTGTTGGACGGGTTGATGAGCAAACACTTTACACTCATGAGTTGCCCCCCAACAAAGCGGGTGTAACGTCTACTTATGCTTGACAGCTTTTCAGGAAGGATTTGCTTCCCATAAGATTGAGGGCAATTGGACAATTTGCGACTGCAAGTATGATGCTCAACTAATCCAACCTGGGTATGCTCAACGCCTTGTCCCTGAAAAGGAGACCCCTGGACAAAGCACACACGTCCATTGAACCAGGAAAGCCACTCTCCCCCTGCTAAGTCTAAACACAAACCCCACGTACATCTCCCCCTGTTTTCATGAGTCGGAAAAACCAAAAACCAAAACACACATAACAAACCATCTAACCCCCTGTTTCAATGGGTCGAACAACTTTGATTGAAAAAAATGATGAAACATAACAAACCATCTAACCCCCTGATTTTTTAATGGGTCGTTAAAAAAGAAAGAAAGAAAGAAAAACATAACAAACCATGTCCATCTCCCAACCACGTCCTTGGTGTAGATACCGCCGCCCACGCGGCCGAACATCGCCACGGTGGAGCCGCCCAAGCCGTAGCCCGCCGCGCAGTCGAACAAGATCTCCCAGTCCTCCGCCTCCGGGTAGACCTCGAGGGTGGACCACGGGGCTTGGTTGGTTCATGGGATGGGCTGCAGCGACCGCCCGTACCACCCCCTTTTGTTTGTTGGGAGCGGGAAAGACCCAAACAAAAGAATGGGGAGGGCAAGGAAAGGCATGAAGGCTTCATGATGTTTCGAAGTTGGTCAAGTGGAAGGGAAAAGGAAGACAACCCCGATTCCAAGCTTTGAGAGCCCATGAAAACAGTCACAGGCTGCCCCTCTCTTATGGAAGTTGAGGAAAACACCCTATCACAAGCTGGGTTTTGATTGATCGCATCTTGGGGTCATTTGAGCCACCACCACTTGATAGAAAGGGCGCGTATCAGCATGTCATTCATTGTGAGCTAAACTAAGTGACAGCCAACCAAAGTCTCATGGTTACAAACAAAGGCTCACGGGTCGTCGGGCCATGGTCGTCATCCATGTCATGTTGTCCCATGTTGTCCTCGTGTTCTGCCTTGAGCCTCTCCCAATGATCCCAAACTTTGCTGGGCCCCTAACCTCTGGGTCCCTTAAAGTCACATCCTCAAATGTATCCTCTACATGTGCTTTAAAGGGCAATCACCCCCCCCAACAAAACTAGAGGACGATTGGCCCGAAAGCATTTTTCCACAGGTGCTCATCCAGCCGCGGAGACACCTTTTTACATCGCTGCGGCGAGCGTGTCTGCGCGCGGCGATGCTCAGTGTGTATGGTCACATGAGAGCTCCATCCCGCGATTTCTCACGAAAGTGGTCTGCGCAAGCTGCCTTGTTCCAGGCTGCTGCGCGCAAGTTGCTCTTTGGAAGTTGCTGCGCGCAAGTGCTCTGTGAAAGTTGCTCTGCGCAAGTGCTCTGAGCAAGTTGCTCTGCGCAAGCGCTCTGCGCCAGTTGCTCCGTGCAAGCGCTTTGCGCATGTGCTCTGTGCAAGTTGGTCTGTGCAAGTTGCTCTGCGCAAGTGCTTTGTGCAATTGCTCTGTGCAAGTTGCTCTGCGCAAGTTGCTCTGCGCAAGTGACTCTGCGCAAGTTGCTCTGCGCAAGTGCTGCCGGAGCTGCGGGGGTGTGCTCCGCGTACTACGTTTGTACTTAAAAGTTGCGATTCTCCAGCCGGAGCTGCGGGGGTGTGCTCCGCGTACTACGTTTGTACTTAAAAGTTGCGATTTTCCAGCCTGAGCTGCGGGAGCACGCTCCGCATACTACGTCTGTACTTAAAATTGCGATTTTCCACCCGGAGCTGCAGGAGCACGCTCCGCGTACTACGTTTGTACTTAAAAGTTGCGATTTTCAAGCCGGAGCTGCGGGGGTGTGCTCCGCGTACTACGTTTGTACTTAAAAGTTGCGATTTTCCAGCCTGAGCTGCGGGAGCACGCTCCGCACACTACGTCTGTACTTAAAAGTTACGATTTTCAGCCGGAGCTGCAGGAGCACGCTCCGCGTACTACGTTTGTACTTAAAAGCTGCGATTTTCAAGCCGGAGCTGCCGCGGACCAGGGGGGAATCGAACCCGCGACCGCGGGATTGCGAAAGCAGGCGCGCAAACCACGAGACAACTTCCAAAGGCCGTTTCGCGAGCAAGAATATTGCACGGCGCCACAGCGAGAGCGCTTCGACACGCACAATCTCCGCAGAGGGTTCGCCGAGACTAAGACAAATTCGCACGGCGCCACAGCGAGAGCGCTTCGACGCGCACGATCTCCGCAGAGGGTCGCGCGCGGCCAGCAGAAATCGTAAAAAGTCCTCAGTTTTTGAACCTCGACCACGCGAATCTCCGCAGAGCAGAAATCGCGCGCGCAGACGCGCAGAAATCGTAAAAAGTCCTCAGTTTTTGAACCTCGACCACGCGAATCTCCGCAGAGGGTCGCGCGCGCACCGCAGAAATCGTAAAAAGTCCTCAGTTTTTGAACCTCGACCACGCGAATCTCCGCAGAGGGTCGCGCGCGCCCGCAGAAATCGTAAAAAGTCCTCAGTTTTTGAACCTCGACCACGCGAATCTCCGCAGAGGGTCGCGCGCGCACCGCAGAAATCGTAAAAAGTCCTCAGTTTTTGAACCTCGACCACGCGAATCTCCGCAGAGGGTCGCGCGCGCACCGCAGAAATCGTAAAAAGTCCTCAGTTTTTGAACCTCGACCACGCGAATCTCCGCAGAGGGTCGCAATCCCGAGCGACGATCAAACTCCCGCCCCGGCGCCTTAGAAACCTAAACTAACTTACATAGCTGCTAACGCCGAAGCTCTAAGCTCTACTCTAACTTGGCTCTATGTAACTTGGCTCTATGTAACTTGGCTCTATGTAACTTGGCTCTATGTAACTTGGCTCTATGTAACTTGGCTCTATGTAACTTGGCTCTATGTAACTTGGCTCTACCTAACCTTGGCTCTATGTAACTTGGCTCTATGTAACTTGGCTCTATGTAACTTGGCTCTATGTAACTTGGCTCTATGTAACTTGGCTCTATGTAGGTTGGCTCTACCTAACCTTGGCTCTATGTAACTTGGCTCTATGTAACTTGTCCAAGGGCTCCGCACGGAAGAACCCTTCGCGATGCTTTCGGGAAAAACATTAAAAATATAAATAAAAATGAGACGCCTACATGTTCACTTTAAGGGACCAAACATAAACTCCACCTCCCTCTCCGGGCCTTGCGGTAGAAAGACAGCAGCGCCCAAAGCACCAAGACGCCCAGCGAGCACAGGGCGTAGCCCATGACGCTGCCGCCGCGGAAGGCCACGTTGAAGCCCTAAAAGGCTGGGAGGAATGGGGTGGTTGGGTTCAAGGGAAATCAGCACCCTTTCACCAGTTGGTGAGGTCAATGTAAGATAAGTCGCCCTTTGACCCAAAGAAAAGGAGCCCCAAATGCAGCCCCCAAACCATAGGGCAGTCTTGGGCTTCGGCCCCCAACCCCACCTCTTTGTAGCCCTTGTGGGCGCACTCCAAGGTGGTGCGGGCGTTGGAGAAGGTGGCGATCATCATGCCGAGGTAGCCGCACAGCATGGAGGTGAATGCACCTGTCACATGTGCGACAGCAAACAAAAGCAAGGCACCAAGCAAAAGATCTCCATATCTCGTTGTGTTCTTAGTTGTCCTTCAAACACATTGCAAAAGAAGGGTCTACGCTTGCAAATGTTGTTCCCGTGTACTCTCTCTCTCTGTGATGTGTATGTGTGTGTGTGCTGTGTGCTTGTGTGTGCGTGTGTCTGTGTGTGTTGTGTGTGCGTATGCGTGTTTGTGTGGTAAGTAAGGGTGGGTGTTGTGTGCATGCGCGTGTGCGTTGTGCGGGCGCGTGCGCATTGTGCGGGTGCAAGTGCACGTGCGTGCTTGCGTTCATGCTTGCGTGCCTGCCTGCATGTGTGCGTGTGTGGTGTCCAACTAGGATTAAACACTCCACCCGGAATCAAGACCAACGGGTGGCCCAAAAATAAAGCACATGCACCTGGAATAAAGACAAGCACCCGCCACCCGCGCAAAAAATAACAAAACAAACAACCAATAAAAAGGAAACGTAAAGAGAGAGAGAGAGAGAGAGAGAGAGAGAGACAAAGGAGAGGAGAGATAGCCAAGCCAACACCTTGTCCTTGCATCTTTGGCACCTTGTTCCTCAAATCCAAAATTGTTAGCTTTACCAAACCCATGTTTTTACATGTCTCTCGTTCAAAACCTGCCCACAATCAAACCCGCACATTATGTCAGGGGCTCCGAAATTAAGTCTTGTTGCCTGGCCCCCTGAAAAATACAACCTGCTCAATGCAATGGCCTCTTAGCTGTCAAGTAATTAGACAGCCTACAATGCTTCATGCTGTGTTGTTAGAATTTGGGCCTGCTTCTCAAATCCAACAACCAAAATTGTCAGCTTTACCAAACCCATCCTTCATGAGAATATTGGTGTTTCGATAGCATAAATCCGTACCGTGTCCAAGAGCGCATAGCTGTCTTGAATCATGAAGTGAAACAGTGTGTGAATAAAATATGAACACTTTACTTCGCTGGCCTACATATACCCATAGACTGCCATGTTCCGTGTGTGGACCTCTCAAGCTTTTGCTCTCCATGAGAAGCCAACGCCTGAGCACGCATGAAGCAGGCCCCGATATCGGCAGGAAACCGCGCCTGTCAAGAAGGCGCCAGCCGTCAATTCGCCCTGCAAGGGGCTCTTGGTGCCCCAAGACACCAGGAAGTAGATGACCAGCGAGAAGACCAGGCCTACCCATTGCAGGGTGATTGCGGAAAGAAGGGACCTGGAGATTTGTTGGCTGGGTTTTCAGTATGAGGGAACATCGGTAGAAGAAACAGAGTCTCGCAGGCTGTCAGATCAAGCGTCTTGCACCGCAAATACGCTTGCAAACTGCGGATCCCTTGGCCTCTTGGAAGCTGAAGAAGACAAACTAATATGTTTGCAGGGCAGAAAAGGTGTGAGCAGTTGATGAGCTTTTCATGCAAATGGCAGGGCGGTATTCAACGTTGCTCACTTTCAGAATGGCTGCAGGCAGGTTCAAGGATCGCATTTTCCACTGAGCATGGGTGTGAGGACTGCCAGCTTCCTGGATGCACAATGGATAAGTTCTGAATGACGGCTGAGGCGGATATGGAAACAACGATCCCCACTAAGTATTCGCTTCTTGGTAGAACGAGTGGAAATGTGAAAACATTCGGGACCTCCTCTTCGGTGGAGAGTGGGAGACAAGGGGACGCTACTGGGGAACTGCGGCCCTTTCGACGCGGGCACAACAAGTGGAGGTATCTGTCAATGGTTGAAAAAGGGCGGGTGAGTTGGGTAAGCCTTTGTTTGGCAGAGGTTTCAGGCCAGGAGAACATATAACGTGTGGAAGTAGACAAGCAGTCTTATCACGAGCCACCCTTTCTTATTGTCAGCAAACCATGTCAAGACATGTTTGCACCTTCAATCCTCTTGAGAACACACCATGTAACAAAAAGCCGCCTGGGGAACTGACCCCGTTTAGCGGCTTTGCGGTGGATCCCCCAAAAAGAAGAACTGCCCCGCCCCATGAATCAACCTGTTCATTGCTTCCCGAGTCGCAGAAGGCGGTGCAAATGGCATACTCCACCTTCAGGAACTGCACGGCTCCGTCCATGATCCTGGGTCGACCAAAGCGAAACTGATTGATAGCTTGCATAGGGAAACTAAATGGTTAAAGCACGGTCAGAAGCAACTTTGAAGCAATTGAAACCAGGTTACTGGCGCTAGCTTCTTCTTTGTGGGCACGGCAAAATCTTACCTGAAAGATATTGATCTCCAAACGGTGAGCTGTGGTTTCTGCCAGGGTGAACAATGGGTGAAGCTACAAGCTAAGGATCTTGGCGTAGATCTCAGGGACCAGCTTCTCCGGGGAGTCCTCCCCGGTCAGCGGCTTCGAGAGGTCCTGGAAATAATTGTCAGCCCTCCACGTGAGTGTTTCTGTTGATACCCGTTACAGAAGGGAAAGCCACGATTCTAGGTGGCGCCTTTTGGACAAATAGATGGCGGGAAATGGAATAAACCCATCTAAACCAGGGCCCTCTATTTTTGAAGCAAACCAACCAAAAGGGACACCTATGGCCACGATGTTTTGGGTGGCTGCCCCGATTCTGGTACACCTGGGGAATTAGGGAGAAACCTTTAGGCAAGCTGAGAACCAGAATTGCGAGGCCCCCTTCCTTGGGCATAAACCAAGCATCCAGAAAGAAGGTTGGGGGTACTGAGCTTTGACGCGTTCATAGCCCTAGGCAGCCGCGTGCCTGTGGAACGGCAGTCTCTTGCTCAAGAAAACCTGGTGCTGCTCCGCCTGAAGGCTGTGGCTATACCAAAGACTTCGGCATGCGTCAAAAGTGTTCTGTGCGCTGCGTCTTTTGCTGGTGTGCGTAGAGCCAGGCGCAGATGCAGCGCCATATCGCAGGAAAACAAGTTGGAGGCCATGCCCGGCATGTGAGCCATGCGGCCATGGGTGAAAACCCTGGTTAGCCCTTAGTGAACATCCCAATCCCAACTAAAATAGACTAAAATGGGTGGTGTACCTACCCCAACATGATGCCAATGGTTTTGACCCACAGCCATGTGAGCCACGGTTGGTGCCTGATTTCCCAAAAGCGATTTAGTGTCTGCACACAATGTCACCCTTTTGCTACAGTACCTCGGTGAATGTTTCATATCTACGGATCGGAAGGTACATTATGCCGTGGCGTTTGGTCTGCCATGCCTCCCTAAGAGCCTTCAGCCCTTGCTTCGAATCCTGGCCATTGGGTGTCAGGGAGATCTTCTTGATGATCAAAAACTGGGCGAAGGCCGCAATCAAGCCCACGATGCACGAGGGCACGATGATCATGTCCACGTGCGACATCGTGCTGAAATCGGCGCGCAAGAGGCGCGGGGCAAGCTGTCGACGTCACTGAGCCAAAATTGCTGCGGGACGACTGAAAATAGTTGACTGGATCCCGACATTCCAGAGAACATTTGACTGCACTGCAGCAGGCAGGTCAAACTAAATAGTTCAGCGAAGAAAAGCCAGGTGCCGTCAACAACTTGGCATTGTTTCTGTGGGCCATTGTACGTCCTAATCCTGTGAGTCAACATTTCTGCAGCCAGCACCTCGCTCTACAACACTATGCGGCAACGAGACTCAAGCAGCCATATGAAATGAAACCCGGTCAACGCAGAATCCAAATCCGCTCTGCGCTTCCCAACCAATATCCTACCCACTGATCAATCTGCCAAGGCCAAGCCCCCAGCCTGCGCAATACTCCATGATGTTGACCAGCGCCTCGCCAGCGCCGGCCCCTGCGACGCTGCGTGGGAGCCGAAGGCGCCCAACAGACGCGGGGAGGCGCACAACTTTGGCCCCTAGCCTGCAGTGCGAACATGAAGAAGCAACGTGTCCCTGCACCGCAAAATGTGGTTGTAACATTCTAGCCTTGAGGGGCTGATCGGAAAACCAAAGATAAGCACTTGACAGGTACTCAGCCAACTCTCGGGGTGGAATCGGTGGCGTCTCCAATAGGCGCAACAGGCTATCCTGGTGATGCCGAAGATTAAGATGACTTGGTTTGGGTTCAGGTTCAGCTTCGCTTCATCGGCCGGCAACGCGCCTGAATGAAGAAAGGACACTTGGTGTCTCACCTCGGCGCAAAAGGACAGGGCACCTTGCCGCGGGCAGTGGCTTGCAACACTCAGTCATCTCATTCTGCCTCCAGGGCCGGAACAAACCCAGCTCCTTGGGAGTCGGCTGCGGAAGTTTCCGAGACCGTTCTATGGGAAGAAGCCAGAAGCTGATTGGCTACCCGCACCCAAGGTTGTGCGATGTGATGCCCATCCGAGGCCAGCGCCACATTGGGATGTTTCAACCTTCGGCAGAAGCAGTTCAGTTGACGTTCCGCTTGCGTTTCGCAACACCGGCCCCACTGGCCTCTGATAAGAAGCTAAGGATACCAGTTGGCCAAAACTCATAAAGATGGCAAGGCAAACAGCCAAGCAATAATTAAGCTACTCCCTGAATCAAGGTTGGGCTCCATCCACATCGTACAGCTCTTGAACGATGTCCGGAAACGTGTATACTGTATAAACCAAGCAAGCATAGTTGGCACTCATGCCCTGAATGGGTCTTCAACGAGACAGCGAGGCTTGTGCCTGCCCCAAGTACATGCGCTCGTCAACAAGGCCCAACAAACAGTGTTTCCTCGATGATTGCTCTTGGCCGTTGAATAAATGCCCGACAATAGAACAGCAAAGAACAAACAACAACAACGGAAGACCACGAACGACCGGTGCCGCCCCCCAATCTGCAAGATCGTTAAGAGTTGGGGAACCATCAAATCCCAAACATGACTAGAGTTAGGCCCAGTTGTAGAATGTATATCTTATTGTTTGCTTCACATAGAGTCCCTGGTAAAATGTAAAACGTATCCTAAGTCTACCCCAGCAAATACCCAGTCATATAGTCCGTTGCTTATGTGGCCAGATTGACGAACCGGACCAGCGAGCTTTAGGCCGCTCCTCTTCAACACCTCCACCTCCTGCAGGGCCAAAGCACGATCTTTGTCCTGGCCAGCTGACGAAAAATCATGGGATCAAGTACTTCCACAACATAAAGTGAGGCTTCGCTCAGCTGATGATTTTGGGAACAATATCTTACTAACGTGTGGCGAACTCATGTTTATTGCCCACAGCTCTGCATTGGACTGCTTTCGGCTGAAACCTGCATGTTGGCGTCTTCAGTGTCCTCCTCAGTTGATTTGATGATTGAATCTGACTGGATTGGCAGCAGCTACGGTGGATTCCCCACATATTGCAAGTGAATCAACCACATTGGTAGATGGCCATGACTTGCGGGGTTACTCTTGTTCCCCTTGGCAAAACCCAGTGCATGGCATAATAGAGCTCTTCGCGGCGCACAAATCCGCTTCCCAAAGAACTTAGTGCGGGGATTTCGAGGATGCGCTGCCTTCAATCGAATGCCGAACCAGCATAGTTGGAAGGTGACTCGATATCTCCATGCCCAGGCCCACGTATGTCATTCAACATCGCCCTGGCATAACGCTCCTACCTGGCCATGTCAGAGTGATTGGCGACTCAGCGCCTTGGCTTGCTCAACAAACAACTTGGATGGCAGCCGTCAATTCGTCGAGCCCCCTGTTCCAAATAGACGAACATCCATCACAGCACTGCTGGAGCCAATGCTCAAGCTTCATTCGATGTAGTACGGTTGGAGGCCCGTGCTCGGATGGGATTTAAGTTTCCCTTTGATTTAGTATGGCCGGGTTTGGGTTCCCATTGTATTTAGTATTTCCAGACTTTTCTTTGGGGGGAGTAGCTTTGTGGGAATGATGAGGGTCAGATTGCTTGAGCAGGTCACGTGAGTCTGGGTATTGTGTAGTTTGTTAGTCGTTGTTCGAATAGTGTAGTCTTGGAAAGCTTGGTAAGGGGCTGGGACAAATCACAACCATATTATAGGATTGCATTTTATCAGCTTTGAGCCTTGGTGGTTGGAAGGGGGCAAATCTATGTCATAGTCTGTGTGTGCTTTATAGTGGGTACAACAACAACTAATCTTGGGGATACGTTTGTACGTATGGTAGCATTGACCCTCATTGACCCTGCTGTTCTGTTTGCAACAGGCCAAGCTGATACATGGGTTCCTCCCTTGCAGTTTGTAAGTGGCATTCAATTACACACTGCAATGCAAAGTGCAAACACATCCCGTTTGCCTGAGCGACCGACCCTCACAATCCCAACACCATTAACAGTCGCATGTGGAAATGGAGCACACCCAAGGAAGTTGAAATGTGCACGTGGCCAATTTGCTACGGATCTGGAAGAATGGCTATAAGAGATGCATTCAAGTGGTTGCCATGGATCAAAGGTCCGCTGCCAGATAGTCCCGCCCGAATCCGCGCAGATCGTCCTTGAGGTGGTCAAGGAAAACAACTTTGGCCACAGCCTGGCGACGATGCGACGCGCAGTCAGCCGAGGTACACTGCGCAGATCTGGCTATGACTTACACTACAATTCTGCAAGCAGGCCAAGGCCCCCCACATAGGCAAGGTTCTTGACGCATTCTTATAATAAGGGTTTTGAGAACCATTCTGGTGGGCACAGGGCCCTAATGATTAGCCGAATGCAATGCTGCGCTAACCCTGCTCAAAAGGCTTGTGGCAGCCAATTCTGATCTTCATATGTTGACATGAACCACTGAGGACTGTGGGCAATTGAACAAAAATTGAAAGCCACGCCTGACATGTCACAGAATTAGTGAGAATTGAACGCACACCCCACATCATGGGTGTACGCTGTTGACATGCAGACAACGAGCGGCGCCGCTCAGGTACCGATTCCAGCAACACATCATTAGCCAAAATATCAAGGTGCCTTCCTGGGTTAACAGAACTGAACACAGGCAACCCGGCAAAAGCGGAAATCATGATTTTGAGAAGTTGCGCAAGACCAGCCACATTGCAGAACTAACTGTGTGGACTGTTGTAATTGACCTAGGACTGTGTTACGTTTAGTACCCCCCTCTTCGGTATGGAGCAAGGACAGTGAATTCCAACTGAGTGTGTCCGTGGCATCAGCTTGCCTGAACGCTTTCAATGAAGTATCAACAGCGCTGCTGCAAAGGACAACACATTCGCCTGCAATGTAGCAAACATCCCCATGCATGCTAGGGTTCCAATACAAGTTGCGTGTCTGCAAACAAAGCGCACGGAGACCCAATTGTCGGGTATCCCAAGGGCTGGTCCCAGCCAAGGTTCAACAAGGGCCAACTTTGTCAACGAGCGGCTTTTATTCCATGGCCATCAATTGGTTCATGACGTCAGCAACCTCAAAGGGTGGACTCAGACATGTTGCTGTCTCCAAGCCCTCCTGTATGGAAGAATGAAGTGTGAGGGAAAAAAGGTCACCTCCGAATGCTTGCACACCAACCGGCCTCAGTCATGATTCCAGCACCAAGCCTTCATCTCTTCGATCACCCTAATGCTTGCTGCTTTTATTTTACTTCCCGATGGGTTTCTGCGGTTTCAATCGGCACCTGCTCCGGCTGCGGTGTGTCAGTGGACTCCACCAAGTGCCTGCAGCGCGGCTGGCTTCAAGCCATGGCTCCATCTCATGATCCATAATTTGGAAGAGGCGAGCCAACTCAATAATCTAGGTCCTCCAGTAGAGAGCTTAGAATAAGTTGGTACCCGATTTTTGTTCTGTAGTTTATGTTAGTAGGGGAACTCTCCCCCAAGATAGGGTAAAAGGGCACTACGGGGGGGCCTGGTAACAATTGCCCTACATGGAGCTTGATATGGCCCGTCTTCTGGAAGACGATTCCTCGCTCTTTTCATGGTACGTATGTTTCAATGTCTGACTTGGAATACTGCAATGATGGGCTGTACTCACGGGAATGTCCAGATGCATGGAAGGGACTGCATCTTATCTTTTTTGCTACCACACACCTTGTACTTGACCTACTGTGTTGCAGATCCACTCCAAGCAGAGCTATTTAGGATCCTGTTACAGTGAGACCCAGGTATATTTGCCCCTGACCCTGGCCCACTTCCTTGATGAAAGTTACATGTTCCGAGGGTCAACTCTCCAACGTGGCTCCAAATGTGTGAAGCAGAGCAATGCACGAAAGAGGGTCCCTGGAAGATCGGAGAGCGATCGCCAGCCCCGTAAAGTTTGCGGCAAGTCGCCGCCGGAAGTAACGAGCATGTGTCCAAGTTGGGCCCCTAAACGGCGGCTTTCTGTCGCTTCCTTTTGCGCACACTACTCGAACTGGGTCCCTACTTGCCGATTCCCAAGTGGCGGCTTCGCATCCTAAATATCTCATGATGTTGCCATCCTTCAAACAAATCCCGA